TTAGACATATCTCTGAATATTAAACTCATTTTTATGAGTTATTAAGCATTTTCATTAAAAATATTTCAAATTTATTTCAATACTATTATTTAACCATCATGAAGAAAAAAATTTATTCAAGTATTGTTCTCAGAATTGTAATTTTCTGTTTTACTTTAAAATTTGTCATATCAGATGATATTGTTTCAGTGAAAACGGCTATATCTGTCAATCGGGTAACACGTGCTATCCAAGTGGCTCCTCTTTATGTGGGAATGGTTGCTGCGATGAAAGTTGCCAGCTTAATAAAGTATGCTGCAATTACGGTTATACTGCGTGATAGATAGTTATGGCGGGTGCTGCAAAACAGGTACAACTTGCTTATCAAATGGTAAATGTAGTATTAGTATTAGTAGTCTTTAAGAATAGTAGCTGCAGCAGTTATGGTAATATAAACAGTTACAACGTCTCAATGTATTTCTTAACATCAATTTTAGCATTAATGTACATTTTTTTATAGAACTTGAATTATTTATTCGCCATGAGAAATAGTATCTTTTTTAATATAGCTAGCTAATTTAATATATACATATTAATATATTTTAGTATATTTCGGTTATGATCACTTTTCCTAAAAATTGAGATTGACCTCTCTAAATCATTCTACACATAAATTTCAGAAATAAATTCAGTCATGAGTTTAGATTAAATTAAATTGTTTCACTGCTTTTGAATATTGAAATTGTCAAGATTTACTTTCATGATACGAGCTTAGTAATAATTTGTTAATACATTCAGTAATAATTTGTTAATACATTCGGTAATAATAATTTGTTAATACATACAAAATAATTAATTAATATCTCATAAGCTAAAGATATACTTTGATAAAAATAAATTATACTTGTCTAGGTTTAATTATAACTTTCAATTCTTGACAGGAAGTGATAGCCGCGGATTTAACTTTCAATTTTTCATTCATATCACTTAATTCAAAATCATATTTTCCATAAACTAAGGTCATTAAAGAAAGTAATTCAATCATTGCCAACTTTCTACCTGGACATATACGAAGCCCGCCACCAAAAATAGTATAAGAATTTTTATTTTTTGACATTATATCATCAGTATCAGTAATATCATTACTAGTCTCAGAATTATAATAAAATCGATCAGGATTAAAAACTT